AGGACAAATCAATTGATCAAGTCAGTTGAATTCAACTGACTTGAACGCGAATTGAACGTGTAAACCATGTCATTCAACTGACTTGATCAACTCACTTGAATTGAAAAAAGATGAACCAGGCTTAACTTTTCAAGCCAATTGAATTCAACGGAGTTGATCATTTGACTTGCCTAGTCTAAACCCAGCTTAATGGCGGCCTGTTTGTATCCTTCACTGTATTGCGCATTTCACACCAAATTGGACTAATAAGCGCGTTTTCACTTATTAAAAAGTGTGATAAAATTGCAAGTTTACATCTAATCGTCTTGGTGTCTTCGGTGCACTTATTCCTTATGGTGCAAGCAATAAGTGCTCCCAAGACATCAAAACGATTTGACGGAAATGTGCACTTCTATCACACTTTTTGCATTTTTGGGACAGTCCAGTTTCAGATGCAATCAGCAATACTTTTTGATTTTAACTAGTGGGCGTATGTTGTTCCATTTTCTTCTGTTCCTGGGAGAGGGAGAGGGAGAGGGAGGGATCAAAATCCAAACCGCCAGATAGTACAGTGAAGGATACATTTGTTCATACAAACAGGCCAGCATTACCGAGCATGGAAAGCTGGATTATTCAGTTCCAACCTGGATTGGGTATCAATATTGGGTCGAGGGGGGCGACACATCTTAATCTCAATTTTAGATGCTCAATAAATCTCACACTAGCGAATAAATATTCGAAAAATCTTCTTTCATTTCTGGCATCTACTTGCATCGCGCATCATCTTTTTGCAGGAAATCTTCAAAATCGTGATAAATCTTCTTTCTATCTACTCAGCGTACGCGCAGCTAGCCACAGCAAAACACAATATTTCCTGCATCGTAGATAGAGTCGTCCCCCTCGTATTGGGTCTGCTTGTTTTCTGATAAAACACTGACAAAAAGTTCCGTTTCGCACTGGGCTGGAACTGGTGTTAACCCCGATAATAAACGAATTCGCTATATAATTCAAATTACGCAAATTGTGCTCGTCAATGAAACGAAGAGAACTGCCATCAGAGTCCTGGCAACACTTGGCTATTGATTGGCCTGCTTCCAACAGGCCATTATTTGTTTGTGGTGGTTGATTACTTCAGCCGCCACATTGAACTCGAGATAATGAAGAAAATAGACGATTTTTGCTCGTTTCGGTCTGCCAATTTCCGCAACAGCCGACAACGGTCCACAGTTCGCTAGTGGGGTTGTACGCAATGGACTACGTGGTCTTATATAATAAATGTTATTCATTAACTACAGCATGAGCTTGTATTTTGTGTAGGAATAGCAATCTAAGCTGGGTTCTCTCTGTTTATACTCTTTAGTACGACGTGCTTGGCATAGATGGCCCACAGCGACTCACGAAGTGCTACTGATTCCGATCAATAGTGGTGCGGATTTTCCTCTTTCTATGGATGCTCATGTGGGCTGCAGCTCACTGCTTGTAGGCAGCATTTCGTTGTGTACTGGAGAACAATGTTCAAAGCCACGCGCCGAAAGCACTGCAGCTGCTGCTGCTGATGTCGAGGACCGGACACCACCGCACACGGTGATTGGAACTGAATCCGATCAGTGGTTGAGGGCAGCCTTGATAGCTAGCTGCTTGCGGGGAGCCTTTCGTTGTGCACTGGAGAACACCACCATTCACCACGCGGTGATTGAATAAACACCGTTTGGTGAGACCAGATGGAATTCAGCTTTGCAATCTGTGTTAGGGAAATCGCTTTTCGCAGGCAGCCAATGATAAATTTTATTATCATAGCAACAGTTTTCAATAGTAACAATTTGAAAAATAATAAAATCTTATTTTAAGCAGATGCGTATATTTCTGATCGAATGGTGATAAAATTATTGAAATTGCTTCAGGGGCAGCTGAGTTATTAACGTTCAAAACCTTTCATAATTTTGTTACATGTTCCATTTTCGGTTTTCACAAAGTGTACCTCCATATAGAAATCACAGACGTAGTCCTACGTCAAAAAGATGACGAAGACCAACAAGCTAACACCGAACTGTGATCCAGAAGTATTCAAGGTGATCAAAAGGAAAGGCGGAGATGTATTGGTGGCTTCAGAAGAGTCAGGATTAAAATATCGCAGGCATGTGTCACTTTTACAGCGCATCAAAAATTTTGAATATAAGTAAACCATCATCATCATCGGGAACATCATGTTGCAGTAGCGGAAAAAGTCGAGGAAATCTACACCTGATTTGGAACCCAGATCTCTGAGGACAACGCGACAGCCAGCATATTTGCAGGATTGTGCATCATGTTTAAGATGTAACAGTGAACCACAATAAGAAAAAAAATAAGAAAAGAGAAAAGTGATGTATTATAGTAACGCTTTTATATAATCGTAATGCCTGTTGGCTTAGGGGTCTGCGTTGACTGATGTGAGAGAGTACAAAGAATAAAGACAGACGTGTTTTATGCCTTGTTCAAACTACAGAGTTATAACATAGAGGTAACTCTAAGACTAGAAGGTCACGAAATAACGTGCTCAACTTTTTGGCTCAGCTCTGGTACTCTCTTCGGTCCCAAGCTAATCGATTCACCCCTCGAAACATAGGAAAAACCAATAACCCCTCATTTTATCTGTCAAACTTTCATAGCGAATCAAAACAAATATTGCGTAGTACTAGAATTTCAACTAGAATGGGGCGCGTTAATCATTTGCTTGGGACCAATAGGCTAGTCAAGTAGTGAGCCAATTTAAAATCGTTAGTTTCGTATTGATTGTTGGTTATAACATGTTATAGCGCTATCTTGATGGTGGTTTCTGTGTTGCAATTAGTTGACAACCGTTATAACATGTTATAACTCTCCAGTCTGGACAGCGTTTTATAGTACGTTCAGACTACAGAGTTATAACATGTTATAGCGCTATCTTGATGGTGGTTTCTGTGTTGCAATTATTTGACAACCATTATAACATGTTATAACTCTCCAGTCTGTACAGCGTTTTAGAGAGCAACAGATAACGACGTGTTTTCCTTCCATCTCCTACGGTCCTCGACACTACACTAATCGCTTTATAAATTGTCATCAATACCAGCAAGTGTAACCCAAGAACCAAAAGCGTTGCGATGCTAGTTTTCATTGCTATGACGACGACTGAATTAAGGGGCTTAGAAGCAGAGGGGTGAAAGTCAATTCTCTTCATCGATTTCCTCTTTTGACGAACATGGCTTCACTAACCTATTTCGCACTATTTCTACTATGCTCTTCTATCATGCAGAACACCAAACGTATCAATGAAAGTGTTTGCCGTCGAGTTATTAACGAAACAGAAAGTCGATGAAGAGACTCGATCAAAATCACTTGCACCACTGCTTCCAAGTTTGGTTACAAGATTACAACTCTGAAGAGCATTTTGTGTGGTCGTTGGGGGTGTGTGATCCTGAAAAGCGGAACCAATTCAATATATTTTAGATCAACAATTGAAAAGATACTATCAACTTTTATAAACAAAACGTTGGTTACTCTTTCCTCGCCAATAATACACAAATTACCGGCATCATCGGATAGGGGAAACTTTCCCCAACCCAAAGATGGTGTCAGTTTGCGTAGGCGAGCCTTGAGTCACGAGAAAAAAGTTTGCGAAGTTTTGTTCGCAATAGCTGATGTGCTCTTTTCTGTTGTTGGTCGTGATTTGCTCGATTGGTTCCGCTATTTGACAGCTCATTTGGTTCCCAAGATTCTTTCCGCCAGACTATGCATATAGCAACTATAGTTTCGTCTACTAACGACTCTCTGATGACATGGGGATGGGGAAGCAGCAATGCTACATCGACATGTTTCATTTAGAAACGATTCTTTGATGACTGTGTTGGGGAAGCAGCACATGCATGTACGTAATTGATGGATTTGTTAGTTATTTCGACGCTTTTGAACAATGCTAAACATTTACCACTTTTCAACAGTTTTTTGCTGAAAATCAACAGACGAAAGCATTGCATTTTGTGTAGAAATATTTCTGATCGATTAGTGATAAAACTATTGAAATTGGTCCAGGGGCAGCTGAATTATTGACGTTCAAAATCTTTCCTAATTTTGTTACATGTTCCATTTTCGGTTTTCACAAAGTGTACCCCCATATAGAAATCACAGACGTAGTCCTACGTAAAATAATAACTCTTTCCAACTTGATAATGAATTTGGAGAGGAGTATATCGAGTTACAGAGGTCACGAAAATCGAGTTAACTTTATCAACAAACAATATGAGAACTCAAAAAACAGAACTGTACTTTGGTCTCCGAAGGACGACATTTTTGGAAGGGACTAATATGCGGCTATTTAGCATGATGGGACATACTGACATGATGTATTTTCATATTTTTCGAGAACAACATTCTTAATTTATCACACCCTATGAAAGCAGATGCAATTGATAATGCATAGAATAAGTAATTCAAAATTGGCCCAAATGCATATAGGAATCATCTACGATTAAAAGCGCCAACGAGGAACCAACTTTCAGCTGAAAATCTCCTGAATAAAGATATAAGAAAACTAAATGTAGTAAAGCTCCACATGAACATGTTTCGTAACGGTACTCAGGATGTGGATATGTACTTCCATATCTTCTACTAATGGACTACATTCGGATACTAAGAAAAATACGCAATACTTCAGTTTCTATAACGAAATAAAAAATATTTATATCTACAAATAATCCGACATTCTTCGCTCGCACCGAAGCGAGCGCAATCCGTCACTTTGCCAAAAAAGCTCTTCCGCTATCGTAAACTTTCCACCTGCCGTGTTTATATCGGTAACATTCTAAATCCACACGTTTTCCTGCCACAATATATCCCTTTCCTGTTATCATACTTTGCTCAGCACACATTCTACAAATGGCTGTAAAACTAATTTTTTCAATTAAAAATAAAATGGACTAACACTATGTACTTGTTTTCCCTTTTAAAGTGTCGTGTGGTAAGCATCTACTTAAGAAAGCAGAAACGTTCATTAATTTGTCCCCTTTCTTATCATTTATGTTAGTTACGTTTACCTTCATCGGTGAGTGTCTTATTACTTCTCTCTCGCTCTCGTTTCTGTTTCTGTTTCTGGCTTCTAGTATTTAAATAGTGAATCGTACTCTCGTACTGTACTCAATTCGTGTAATCGGCATTGGAATGATGCACTAACTTCTTTTAATGAGCGTTGCATTATTAGTTTAAAACGTTAAATAGCTTGTACAAGGGAAACTGGAAAGCAATCATCAACCCGGCTCTGGGAATTCAAGTGTCGATAAAATACTGCCATAGCTGTCGATTTTTTCTTTTGCTAAGCAAGGGAATATTACATACATGCGCACACTACTAGGTACTGACGAACGGTTGGAACGAGGGTAAAAGGAAGGGAAGGGTTCATACTTACTGGATGTTGGAGGTGTGTCGGGGACATTTCAAGCCACAATCAACCAATCGGACGAGTTGGAACGCACGAGATGAGATTTCCGAAGCAGAGTGACTCCAGTCTTCCCACCTAGGGGGGCCTGGTTCAACCTTTTACGGAAATATTCTGCACAAACTGTTCGGCCTGGGCCTTCACATGCTTGGCGGCTTCCTTGATCTTCTGGGCCTTCGTGTGCTGGTGCTGGTTGTGCAGGGATGCAAGGGACGACTGATGAACGGGAAACATGTGCTGCAGGACGTAATCGAAGCCGCTGGCTGTTTTCGTGCAGTTCTTCTTGAAGCGATCCAAACCGAAAGCTCGGATGGCGGTTGCGAAACCGAACACGGACGAATCGATCCACGCCGAACGGGTAGCGATGGTCTTGGCGGGGTTGTCCGGGGAGGATCGGTAGGTCACCTTTTCAACGACGCTCTGGAATGGAGAAATGAAATCGAAGGTATGTGTAAATATTCTTTCATTTAGGTATTTCATTGTCAAAATGTGATCCATTAGCTTGGCTGCTCAACGCTATGTTGGAGTCCATGAATGAGACTTCCAGTTTATGAAAGTTTTAAAATAACGTTTATTTCGATAATCAGTAATTAATCTAATTACATTGACAGGAATTGTAAACGTTGAATGTTGAACAACATGTAATACCAGCAACTTGGTTGTGGAATGCATGTAGCACTAGAGGTTTTCTAACAGGTGGTAATGACCTCAATAGTACCTATCATAACTGGAACTGGAACATAACTGGACCATGTTCCATGTTCTGTCCTGTTGACTCACTCTGTCTCTAGTGAAACAGTGGAATTAAATTTGAAGATTCATTTAAAGGGTCTACTTCAGGACATACTGCGTAACAGTAGTTACAGTTGACGAGTTCATAACTTAACGTCCACGATATCCAATTGGTTAAAACCCGATTTCAGTAACAAGGAATCTTCATTCACTGGGTTTCATTACCTTTGACTATTTGGCCAGAAACAATTTCAATTTTATTTCCAGTTCCAGTTATGTTAGGTACTGTTGAGGCCATTATAACTTGTTAGATGACCTCTAGGGCTTCACGCATTCCACAACCAAGTCGCTGGTATCACACGTTGTCAAACTCTATTGTAAAATGTAGCGCCCAAAAATCATAGGTTACTCAGTTGTTTAAGGCTTTAGAAGCGAAGCTTCTACCCTTCTAATGCTTGCATTTTATTAATCGTACCCAACGTTTGATCATTTTCTGGAACGTTCCTGGCAGCCAGGTTAATATGGTCGGCAGTTAGTATCTTATTAGTGAATACACTGGCACACTTGTCGGAAAAAGGCGACATATATCCTGAACGGTGGCAGCAACTTTTCCGTTGAATTCCAGACGATAGGAGGTCGGATTCCCTGTGTTGCTCGTTCACGTAGTTCCAGAAGGATTTCGGGTGTAGCTTAAGTTTGCGCTGGATGCTTCGTTGGAAACTTGCAAAGCATTCACGACTGACTCGCTGGTACATGTGATTCAGCCTCACATAATGTAGTTTCTGAGGATGCGTGCGATACTTCGCAAATCTCCTCAATGTTGCTCTCTTGATTGACTTCAACCTACGTAGCTCTTTCGTCTGCCGGGGAGGGTGAGACACTTTGTGGTGAATTCTTTTTGGAACGTGTCTGTCAATGGCTGGTAAACGGCTGGACAATGCGTACCATTGATACTTCGCGTACCTGCAGGAATAAAATAGATCCCACTAGCGGTCCTTAACCTCTTGTCCAGTAACTCCTATCCCTAACTCCCCGCGATGCCGGGTGGGGTACGAGTACCCATAGGGAAGATCGGGTAACCAACCCCGGTGGGACCTTGGTCGTATGCTGACAGGGAAGGGGGGAGGGACTCCTCTCTCCGGAGAGTGCAGTGGGGTCTGTTCACCATGGAGGTGCGGCTCAAAACGGTGTCTGTTCTCCATGTTAGGAGCGGCTGATGAACGTCCTGGTGCCAGCGTGGGACTCTAAACAGTGCTGTGCACGATGGTCCCCCGGCGAGATAATGGGGGTTGGTGCAGGCCCTACAAGCCAGCCGTAAAAAAACAAAAGTACAGGAAGCAAGCAATGTAAAGACGGACCGGAACAATCGGCATAGACCCAAGCAACGGAAACGGACTAACGATTGGAAACTCGGAACATGGAATTGCAAGTCTCTCAATTTCTTGGGAAGTACCCGCATTCTTTCCGATTTATTGAGGGTCCGCAAGTTCGACATCGTAGCGCTGCAGGAGGTTTGCTGGAAGGGATCGTCGGTACATACGTATAGGGATGGTTATACCATCTACCAGAGCTGAGGCAATACACATGAGCTGGGTACAGCTTTCATCGTGATGGGCGAAATGCTGAAGCGCGTGTTTGGGTGGTGGCCAATCGATAGCAGAATGTGCAAGTTGAGGATCAAAGGCCGTTTCTTCAATGTCAGCATAATCAACGTGCACAGCCCTCACTTAGCAAGTGACGATGACGAGTGACCATGAGGTCAAAATCTTCATCGTAGATCTTAACGCTCAGGTCGGCCAGGAGGAGGAATTCAGACCGGTTATAGGAAAGTTCAGCGCTCACCAGCTAACGAACGCCAACGGCCTTAGACTCATCGATTTCGCCGCCTCTAAGAACATGGCCATACGTAGTACCTACTTCCAGCATAGCCTCCCACATCGGTACACCTGAAGATCACCGCAGCAGACAGAATCGCAAATCGACCACGTTTTGATCAACGGAAGGCACTTCTCGGACATTATCGACGTCAGGACCTACCGCGGCGCAAATATCGATTCGGACCACTACCTTCTAATGGTCAAGGTGCGCCAAAAACTTTCCGTTACCAACAACATTCGGTACCGACGCCCGCCACGGTACAATCTGGAGCGACTGAAGTTGCCCGAAGTCGCAACTGAGTACGTGAGTAATGTCTCGACGCAGCGTTGCCGGATGAGGGAGAGCTCACCGAAGCCCCTCTTGAGGACTGCTGGAGCAACTTGAAAGCAACCATTAACAGCGCTGCTGAAGGCACCGTTGGGTTCGTGGAGCGGAATCTACGGAACGATTGGTTCGACGAAGTGTCAGACGGTTTTGGATGAGAAGAGCGCAGCGCGGGCGGCAATGCTGCAGCAAGGAACCCGTCATAATGTGGAGCGATATAAACAGAAGCGAAGACAGCAAACCCATCTTTTCCGGGACAAGAAGCGCCGCCTGGAAAAGCTGGAGTGCGAAGAAATGGAGCAGTTGTATCGTTCTACAAGAAACTCAACGCATCCCGCCAAGGCTTTGTGCCGCGAGCCGAAATGTGTCGGGATAAGGAAGGGGGTAACTTAACGGACGAACGTGAGGTGATTGAAAGGTGGAAGCAGCACTACGATGAACATCTGAACGGCGCAAAGGCGGAGGACCAAGGCGGCAGGAGGAATGGTTTCGTCGGTACAGCGGATGAGGGGGACATGCCAGCTCCCACGATAGGTGAAGTTAAGTATGCTATCCGACAGCTTAAGAACAACGAAGCAGCTGGGAAAGATTGTATCGGAGCGGAACTTATCAAAATGGGCCCGGATAAGTTGGCCACATGTCTGCACCGACTGATAGTCAGGATCTGGGATACAGAACAGCTACCGGAGGAGTGGAAAGAGGGAGTAATATCAACCAGTGGAAACTAACGATTTTAAATTGGCTCACTACTTGACTAGCCTATTGGTCCCAAGAACATCTATAAACGTACCCCATTCTAGTACTACACTATGTTTGTTTTGATTCGGTATGAAAGTTTGACCGATAAAATGAGGGGTTCATGGATTTTCCTATGTTTCGAGGGGTGCATCGATTAGCGTGGGACCGAAGAGAGTACCAGAGCTGAGCCAAAAAGTTGAGCACGTTTCTTCGGGACTTCCTGGTCTTAGAGTTACCTCTATGGTAATATGCCCAGTATATAAAAAGGCGACAAAATAGAATGTGAGAACTATCGAGCGATCACTATCCTTAACGCGGCCTACAAAGTGCTTTCCCAGATCATCTTTCGCCGTTTATCGCCGCTAACAAGCAGATTTGTGGGAAGTTATCAAACCGGTTTTGTGGACGGGCGATCGACAACAGACCAAATCCTTACGTTGCGGCAGATCCTCCAAAAGTGTCGTGAATATCAAGTCCCTACGCACCACCTATTCATCGATTTCAAGGCCGCTTATGATACTATTTACCGTGAAGAGCTATGGAAGATTATGGACGAGAACGGTTTTCCCGGGAACCTGACCAGACTGATCAGGGCTACGATGGATGGGGTACAGTGCTGCGTGAAGATATCGGGTGCGTTATCGGACTCGTTTGAAACTCGCAAAGGACTTCGACAAGGCGATGGTCTACCCTGCCTCCTGTTCAACATTGCGCTAGAAGGTGTTATGAAACGTGCGGGCTTTAACATGCGGGGCACGATCTTCAATATGTTCAGCCAGTTCATCTGCTTCGCTGACGACGTGGACATTGTCGAAAGAACGTTTCAGGCCGAAGCGGAGCAGTACACCAGACTGAAACAGGAAGCAGAGAAAGTTGGATTAAAGGTGAATACGTCGTAGACAAAGTATTTGTTAGCTGGAGGAACCGAGCGGGATAGGGCTCACATAGGCAGAAGCGTGACAATCGACGGAGATGAGTTTGAGGTGGTGGATGAATTTGTGTACCTCGGATCATTGGTGACGTCGGATAACAATTGCAGCAGAGAAATTCGTCGGCGTATTATTGCCGGAAGTCGTGCTTACTACAGACTCCACAAGACCCTGAGGTCGGGTTAACTTCACCTCCGTACTAAATGTACCATGTACAAGACGCTGATAAGACCGGTAGTTCTCTACGGGCACGAGACGTGGACGATGCTCGAGGAGGACCTGCAAGCACTGGGTGTTTTCGAACGACAAGTGCTTAGGACCATCTTTGGCGAGGTATGTTAGAACGGTGTATGGAGGCGAAGGATGAACCACAAGCTGACGCAACTCTATGGCGAACCCTGTATCCGGAAAGTTGCGAAAGCTGGACGGGTACGATGGGCGGGACACGTTTTAAGAATGCCGGACTACAATCCCGCAAAAATGGTGTTTGCCTCGAATCCGGCCGGTACAAGACGAAGAGGAGCACAGCGGGCAAGGTGGTTAGACCAAGTGGAGCAGGATCTTGGAAGTGTGGGACAGTCAAGAAATTGGAGACAAGCAACCACGGACCGAGTGAATTGGCGTAACATTGTGATGCAGGTGCAATCCTGAGGGATGTCGGACCAGGATAAGTAAGTAAGTAAGTCTGTCAATGACATATGCCAAGCCATGTGAAAAGGTTTGCGCTGCAGCTTCAACGTCATCTGGATCAACGATGTTCTCCCATACCATGCTAGACAATACATCTATGATGCTACGCTGGTCAGCTTTACGGAAGTCATAAGAAACCGTAGCAGGATAATCGTCGAAATCACGCACGAGTTTGTCTTCAACAGTGACAATTAGAGGAGGTATCCAATCTACGAAGTATATCATAACCACGCTAACGCTAACAGTGACAATTAGAGGAGGGTGATGTGGAACTAGCTTTGTTAGTGCACAAGAAGCCGAAGAAATTATTGGAGCCTTGTCCTGTGTGCTCACGAAGTAGAGGTCCAAACTACGATCTACATGGTTAGTTGCTGCGCTGTAGTTGTTGAGAAGGCTAATAGCTCCTGCGTGAAATGTAGAGCTATCAGGATCTGGATACAGGAATCCGCTATGAGATGGACTCCACGAAACGCCTGGCAGATTGAAGTCACCCAAAATGACTATCTCATCAACTGGAGTGGCACTTTCGATAACTGTGAAAACTGACCGACAGTGAGTATCGATGAGTTCATTGTCCCGGACTCAATCAGGTGGAATGTACAGAGCGCATAGAAATAGTGTGCGATCACCCAGATTGATGGCTGTCCAAACCTGCTTCACATAGTTCCATGAATCGTTCTCGATGGCCTGGACACCTCGACCAGTAGATTTACGGCTGTTGTTAGGATTCCGATCCCAACGAAAGGCCTCGTAGTCAGGACCGAAGACTTGACTGGAAAGCGTTCGATAATCGAGCCACGTTTCGCACAGGACAATTACATCGTAGCAACAATCCGATACAGCTAGGCGGTACTCTTCAACATAAGAATTCATTCCACCGGCGTTTTGGTAGAAGATCCCGACGTCCGGCTTGCGGTAAGGGTCGATAATATTTAAGGCAAATTGGCAATTGGGATCGATTTCCAAGATTGCGCGATCTGTCGCGTATCTGTTCCAGCATGATTTGCTACCGATATGGGACAGTTAAGCGGTTATGCCTAGTTTATTGCCCTTTGGTTCGACCAATGCTTGAGGACAGGGTTCCTTCCATTCATTTTGGCTAAAAAAAATGTTTTATAAAATTATGGAATAATAAGATATAATAATAATATTTTGTTTGTGTAAGCAACAAGAAAAGATTGTGGAGTTTGTGTTTGACACATAATACCAGCCAATGTTGCTGCATGAGAGTCGCAATAAGCGATTTTGTCATTTATCTCACCCACTCTTCACTCTTCACTCTTCGCGAAGAGGCGATCAGAAAATCGCTCATTGTGGCTCTGTCAAAGCTAAATTTGCAGGTTTTATGTGTCAAACACAAACTTTAAAAATTTGTCTTGTTCCTTACACATACAAAATACCATCATAATATCGTATTATTCCATAATTTCCTAAAACATTTTTTTAGTCAAAATGAATGGAAGGCACCCTGCTTGAGGATACATCCGTCGTCGCCGAGCTCTTCTGGAATATACGAATAGAACTATCAATTACGTCATTATCCAGACCGATGTATGCTGTAGAATCTGGACACGCTAGAACGCAGAGGAAGAATACAGCAATCCTTATTTATTGCAAAACTCCACCATTGCTTGCGCAGTTGGACTGCCATGCTTAAAAGTACCAAGACTCATGAATCATTTCTGAAATTATTCGGGCACTGTTGGCTGAGGAATCAGTGTTTGAATTTGGAGAAATATCCAACCAATTTCGAGCCGATTGAAGCATTTATGACTATTTCTTTCCTCTAGGAAATCACCACATTGCTGTCCCATTTCTTGTAATCTCTCGGGATCACGGCTCAAGGATCACTAGGTTTACTTGATCACAGTTTATTATCTTCAACAGATCCCCGTTGCCCAGAAAAGCCTATCTGTTAGCTTTATATGGGCAGCACAGCAAATTTAGGTTTATGCATGCTATCACCTGCCAAAAGTAATTGTTTTTTACTCTTAAGCATCTTAACTTCTCGAGATGAGCAAAGCTGACAAATATTATAGGCTGTTTAATCAATCGCCCTTTATCCTTAGGTGCTCTAGTGGGCGATGTGTTTTATAAATCGCAATGATGCTATAAAGCCCAGCAATCTGATCCATCATTCTTCCTGCATAGCTTGAAGCACGTGATTTTGAAGATCATCATGACTAAATTCATTCGAATTTAGCGTTTCCATTCATAGTCTTTATTTAATAATAGCCGGATTTTATTTGTTTTCCCATTTTCAATGCATTGGTTCCCGAATAGTTGTTAGCTGTAACAAATTTGATTCATTCGATTGGATAGAAGAACTGTGACGTCCCTGGTATGACCCGTTTATTGTCCACGTTTGAGAAGAACACGACCTTGAGCAGCTCTACTCGTGCCATATATCATTATTCTATTTTAGTTGATCTAAACGCAAAACTTTCCATTAATCATAGTCAGAGCAGCTTTTCACTGCATGTCGGCGTGAATTTACCATGGCGTCATTATAACAAGCCATCATCAGATCCCTACACCAAGCTTTTAAAAGTCCATTCCCACAAACGAACAAAGCCAGCAGCCGAAAGAAACATGAACCGACAGTACACATTTTGCAATCATCTTGCCTGATCTTTCTAATTCGGTAAAAATAAGTCACTCGACAAAAGGCGCATTCTTCAGACGGAAGATGAGTGCAGCACACGCGATCGATGCCAAACATGCATGCTCTTCTTCACTCACCATGATCTTGTTGAAGCCAATGTTCCTGGTGTAGGTTACGAGAACGCGCTCCTTCGGATCCACCACCGACTCCTCGAGGATGCTGACGGACTTGGCCTTGAAGAACCGCTCGCCCCACTTCGGCACCCGGTTTGTTTTGGTCAGCAGCCGCTTGCTGTGCAGTTTCCCATTCTTGATCTCGCGACACACGGTGTCCTCCGAGAGTACGTGCATGCTGTAGCGTACGCAAGAAGCAGGAATCGAAAAACAAAGCCTTGATTAGATAGATGCTACGAGAAGTCACAACACACACATGTTACAACGTAAATTGATCAATTTACAATATTCAATTCGAGTTTATTGAGTTCACAGTCCCCAAGCCGCATGTATGAGTGCAAATTTCGATATATTCTAATTCGCGTACTTCTTCACGTCTACACACGAAAATTATGTAATTTTGTCGGTCCACTTATAGAGTAACCTATATTTACACCATGCACGTCTCGTTCAAGTCCAAGTCTAAACTAATCGACCTTTGATCAGAACCTACCTGAACGGGTTCGGGTACCGGTTCCAGAAACACTGAGTCACCTGTTCCCAGGAATAGTTGAACGTCGTGCTATTTTCGTAGTACTTTGCCATGGTGCTGCAGGAACCGATTCACAGGGGACACGGGAATTCAGATTCTTTTGCACTGCTTCTCCCCGTAGTGGTCGTCGAGCACTGATATGCGCGCACCGAAAATTTTGATTTCACTTTTCCTTTTGACGTATTGCGCTCTACTGGCTGCCGTCGACTACTACTGATGGTTCATCGTCGCAGTGTCGCCTACTGTCGCAGTCGGGAGATTATTGAATTTTCTGCCTGTGTCCGGATGGTCCTCCTTCTGCTGCTGTGTGCGAAAGATCGCCAACACCATGAAAGAAGATGGGGCTTTGAAGCCAAAAAACATTCACCAAAGTACTGACCGATATTACCTGACTGTGCTGATAAGATGAATTGAAATTTCGAGCAAACAATTTGAAAAACGCAATAGCATTAAGACCACGGACTTATTTACAGTTTTGATAACACTTTTTCGGCTGATTACACAAGAACAGCACAGAAAATCCGACGGCGAACGAATCAAAACAAAAACATGAGGGAACTTTTTGAAAGCGTTTTTTGCGAATGACAGGTGGTGACCCGAGTAGAAAATATGCCTTTGAAAGCTCCGATCGTGTTTTAAGTTAGCCCTTGGGCGCAAGAGCCAGAGATGCCAGAATATTGAAAGTTTTCAAGTGATTATTTACACGGTTTGGCGAAAACCCATTATTGGGATAAAAATCAATCCGTTATAGAGAATAGTGACGTTTAACGCACGCACATTAGCGGGAGCAACGCCGTGTAAAGTTGTTTATTATTTTCCTCTGGCTAACATAAAAAATGTATGAAAGTAGATCTGTCAAAATGAGTTTGTTTGTTATGTATTTTCCTCGGATATTCACTAACACGCTCTCACATATCGCACCAATACAACCGGACGTGAAAATCTCTATACCCCGTTCACATTACAGCCTATATCACGTAATATAGGCTGTCTTGCAATGAGCACTCATACATAGGATTTCCAGTGACAAATAAATGTATGAGTGCTCATTGCAAGACAGCGTACATCACGTGACTACAATTTTTTTACAATTTCCATACAGTTTACTTGTCCTCTATGAAGTTCTCCGGTTTTTTTGTGAAGCTCTTCGTTGTTTAAATGAAGTTCTCCGATCTTCTATAACTATCCTCAAACTTCTCAAATTTATGTAAAATTTCCAAATTTCTATTGAATGTGTATGGACGTCTGTCAAAAGTTGTTCCAATCGAACTGAGAATCGAATCGTCAAAATGCACCGCTATGCTCGATTGGAAAAGCCGTTGGTCCCAGCCAATGTGTGTTGAATGGGTGCGACATCCTACGCATGTGTGGAAGCTGCCTTCCTGCACATTCGATTGCCGTCAATGGATGGCAATCGATGTCTGTCGGTGATTGGCACTAGATTGCGGAACAGAGGCCGACGTTAAATAAAGGAATTAAGAAAAAGAAGAAGTTCTCCTATACACTGAAACAAATCGACATGTACCGTTTACTGGATCCATCTTATAACATAGCAATGTCAGCAGATTTATTCATTCTATGTGATGATTGATAGATTCCATTGTATTATCACTTTAAAACTATGACTGCGATATGGAATGATTTCTATCGTAATTTCACATACTTTGTACTTGATAATACTTTGCTTCGAACGTGGTTAGCGATAGGTAAAAAGCGAGGTAAAAAGTATATGAATATTGTCTGATTATATTTCATGGTGAAAAATTGTTGATATGTCATGTTGATATATGTGGGAACAGACATCTAGAAACTAATGGAAAATCATATAAGTTTGCATTATGAGAAAATTCAGTACAATATACCTGTTTTCATGATGAATATTGCTCACTAAAAGATATATCTTATAAGATAATCATGTATATTTTATTGAATTGCTTTTAACGATTTTTGACGTTTGTTCATATGTCGCGTGTAAACAGACATGTAGAAACTATTGGACTGTCATTTAACTTTGCAGTATAGGAAAACATGTATATCTCATATCTCATTGGAATAGCTTCCTTTGATTTTTGAGGTTTAAAGATTGTAAACAGATTTATCCCAATCATTATATAGTCATATAGATTTGCCTTTTAAGAAATCCAACAGCAAACATTTGTTTTGGCATGTTTTTCTGGGATGAATATCGCTCAAAATAAAATACATCTTACATGATTGCTCTTCATAAATTATTGAAACAATTTTCAACGATGTTATCGTACACTCATTAAAATGATTAGTTGATATTGTTGATATTGTAAATATTGCTAACAACAATGATACTGTATTGAATAATCTTTGTTTGTTATTGTTTCATGAGATAAGGGGTTCCGGAAAAGAATGTATATTTATTTACTTTTTATATATTTACTTTGCTGTGATTCTAATTGTAAGCCTTCTACACAGCTAATTCAGATTCCAGCCCTAGTACTCGAACTTCATGAACCAGTTCCATCAACTCATATAATTTAGTAGTTGTTTTATTGCACACAGGCGCATTAAGAAAGATTTGAACAAACGACACCACCGAAACGGAACATAAACTTGTCAGTGCTATTTGTCTTCACTCTAGGAAAACGAGCATAAAGTTGCACTACATTCCATGTAAACGGTGCCGGTGGTGTAGTGGTAAGCGTGATTACCTCTCACCCCAGCAGGCCTGGGTTCAATCCCAGTCGGCGCCGCCGGGATGTTCTGAGGCATAACATCTCTGATCACGCCTTCCTTCGGATGGGAAGTAAAGCCGTTGGTCCCCGGTTCATGAGTTGATGGGTCGATAGGTAGGGTCCAGGTGTGGGAGCTGCCTTCCTGGCACGTCGGTAGCATTGGTGCTCAGCACGGAAAACAAGATCGACGGAAAAAACAAACCAAAGGAAAAAAAAAAATACATTCCATGTCGGGAGAGCTGTTCTTACTTCATGCTAATTGAACGAGCTCAATCTTGAAGTCAGCCGTGGCCCAGTGGAATCGAGCGCAGAAACCGAAAGCATCACACCCCAACAGTTCTTGATCGAATCCCAAATCAGCTACAATAAAAAAAAAAGACACAACTGTGAAAGCTCCCACTGCCTGATGTTTATTTTTCGATTTATTTTTAGAAATCGATTAAATATATGTGTCAAAAGAAGAAGTAAATTTCATGTGATTTTCACATAAACTTTACTTCGATTGATGTATGACACATATATTATATTGTGGTGAAACGTAAAGCTTATGTTTATGGGTTTCAAATCCATTTCAGTTAATTATTATAATTTAACTGATTTTCATTTATCATATGACGATCACATAAAAGTTACCAAATTATCAGCATTGTAAATGTATCAGATATTCATATAGAATTTACCTGACACATTTTCAATCATATCATTTTCAATGGATTATCTTATAGCGCAAATTTATTAGATTTCCACATAACAGGAATATGTCAAATTGGTTCAGTGTAGGATCCGTATTTCTGCAAAATTCTATAGATCTACACGCTCGTTTTGTTTACTCTAAAGTGAGTAACTTCTACTCAGTTTGGTATTTTTAGACAAAATGTCAAAAACTGAGTAACATTGATTTACCAAACTGAGTAACATTAACTCTATTCATCTTAAATTAATGTTTACTCACTTTTGAGTAATCAACAACAGAAACCACTCATCGTGCTTTTCACGCTAAGATCAGATAACCCAAATGTAGGTTTACTTTACCCAAATCAGGCGTAAACTGCACGAACTCAGATATAGGTAAATTTTTTAACCCAAATATGGGTAAATTTAAATCAAATTTGCCTAAAAATAAATCATTTATGGTTCACAAGAACCCATATTTGGGTTAAAAAAATTTACCCATATGTGAGTTTGTGCAATTTAAGGCCAATCTCGGTAATCTCTTTGTACCGTCTAGGTAAACTGATCTTAGCGTGTTGGCAGACTTGTAAAATTTTCGTTCCGTTAAAAACCTTTGCATCAAACCTCACATCAAACTGTAAATAATAATTAAAAAGTGTGGAATTCACGTCGATGAACTGCAGTTGCATCGTTTCATTGCAACTTCTTCTGAAACTGACGATTTTAAGTTGTAGGTCAAATTCGGTCAACAGGAGGAAGATTTGATTCTACCGGAAGGGGAGCAGAATGGTATGAGGCAAAAACAACTATTGTTGTCGGAAGAACCCACTTGTTTTGTCAGTCGGTGGTTACCGTTTTAAGAAAAACCAGCGTTCATGAGGCCACAATGGATAAGTTTTCAGGTTTTTTGACAGTTAGCCCATGAATTATCTGTCCAAAAACCCGGAAACTTATGCATTGTGCGCCAGCCTTTATTCTGTGATCGGGGAATTGCTGATAGATCGAATTAAATATAATTTCAGGTGTAGTCGAGAAGGATGATGTATACCACATGTTCTTCCATCAAAATCTCATATAAATGCAATCTAACTTTATTTTTTATATTGTCTTGTAATAAATACCCGCATAAACAATAACCATAAGATGCGCCTAACCACCAATTCGGGTTATCATCCCAACTTTATGTGGTATGGTTGCACCATCTAAGATATCGTCGGTATATGGTACCCGTTTATTAGGGTATGCTGTTTTTTTCCCCACATTCTTTCAATGACAATTAAATTTACTCGTTTTATAAAATGATCAATTAAATAAGAACTGGGTAATATTTTCTCAGTTCCGCTATTTTTCTTAAAACCAGAACTGAGTAGAAGTTACTCTAAATTTGACAGATGCATATATTACTCAAAAATGAGTAGCTATGTGCACAGAAAAACAGACATAACACAGGCGATTTGTTCATCGAGTACGCATTTAACGGTCAATTTAAATGTGTTTAGTTGGTAGTACCGTCACCTGTGGCGCACATAGTCAATAACCCTTGCGTTTGACGTTTACACACTACCGCCATCTGTTCAGTGTACTACCATAGAGGTAACTCTACCCATCACAGTATACTCAACAGATGGCGGTAGTGTTTTAGCGACGATGATTCATATTGAACAACCCAACAAACAGTTCAAAGTCACAAATAAGCATACACATTGAGTAAAAGCTGTATAACAGTGTACAATGCTGAATAAAACAGGATGTCGAATTATGTGCTGAAAAAAACTCATTGAGATCGATAGATGCGCCTTTATTCCGCCGTTTGCTCTGATATGATTGATTTCCTTATTAAAAGCTTTATAAACGTTGCCTGACTTCTTTATTCAGAACCAGAAGTTTGATCTAATAACAAACTGAATAAGTGTAATTTGCACATACATTGTCGCTTTAATTCGACTGTTTTCAATTGATTCAATAACATGCTTTATTAAACGTCTTATAAATGTTTTCTAGCTCCATTATTAGATTTCATTGCATTGCTTTACAATATTGCTGTATAAAGGTGAATACACTCAGCAAAATAGCTCTTATACCACCCAACAAACAATTAAGAGTCACAAATAAGCATATAT